GTGAGGCGCAGGGGTGGTCTTCGGGTGCAAGAGAGGACAGGTGTGGGTGTTAAGTCAGGGAAGGGCGAAGGATGATGATGATGATGATGATGATGATGATGATGATGATGATGTGAGGGCACTTACCTTGTATTGGCGATGGTCAGCATATGGGCGACATCTTCAAGTACTTCGGGTTGCCGCTGATGTCAACAGTTGCATTCTCTATTGTTAGGCTGATCGTAGCTGTGTAGGAGTAGGCTGGGCGCTGAGCGCCAAGTAGGAGTGTGAAGGGACTGGACTTTTGTGTTGCTGAAGGAGAGAGAAAGCTCTCCATGACATTGGTTTTCAGTACTACGAACCTCCATTGGTGTATTATTGGTGCAATGCTGCTCTCTGGACACAGTGTGACTATCTGGCTTTTAATGTGATGGTGTAATCTGGATTTGTCATCTCGGTTGCTTATTTTCCTTGCATCTATTTTTACTTGTTTTTATTTCTATTCTTTTTTTTTTTTTTTTTGGCGCGGCCGGGCAAGTGGTCCTGGGCCACTCTGGTAAGGTAGTTCTCATTTTGTAATGACCCGCCAAAACACAGACTGAGAACACTGCTGATTTCTGGGATTTGCTGCTGGAATGAATGCCTTGCTGAGATTCCCGCATTCTGCTGTGGTTTCCAAGTTTGTGTGTGTGCGTGCCTGCTGGTTTGTGTGCCTGTCTGAGTGCTTGTCGGCTGAGTGTGTGTCTGACCCGCAAGGGTACTTGTTGGTGGAAAGGCCCTGCAGGGCCGGTACTTATAGGGTTGCAGCGGGGAAAACACTCAAGTAGTGGGGATAGGCCCGCGACACTTAGAGCAGTGGTGAAAAACACTCAAGTAGCAGGTAGGCCGGTACCACTCAAGTAGTGGTAGAAGTGTCGGGTAGTGGAGGGCCGAGCAGAAGAAGACAAAAAGTTGGCATTTTTAGAGGCCCAGTAGCGGTAGGTTAGAGGCTGGCCGCTACCAGTCCAAGTAGCCTGAGTCTAGGGCCTGTCCGGACGATAGCAGAGCCTGCAATTATGTTTCCTTCCGAAAGGGAGGAGGTACCGGTTGCTGGGAGGCCGCTTGGCCTAGGAAGTCACCGCCCAAGAGGCCAGTAGGCCCCTATATCTTCCGGAGCAGCAAGCAGCTCCTCCTCATTTGCGGTATGCAAGGATTGGCGACATGCTGCTGGAGCCAAGCGCTGGACTTGGGCAGCGCTACCTGGAGGTGGCGAGCAGCTGGGCGCTCAGCCTGGCTATGGCGAGCAGCCCAGCCTGAGGAGGAGGAAGAAGGGGGCGAAGGAGGAGAGTGGCGAGGTACCTACCTGGCTATGGTGGACACCATCTTCATCACCTTCTTGGGCGCTGAATCTGGAAGGCCCCAGTTGGGGTAGTGCCGCACCAAAGAAGCTCGAGGCAGAGTCAGGCATGGCGGCTCAGTCAGCAGCGGTATAGCTGCTTTGGGTTGTCCTTTGGACAGGAGTGCAGCGACATAGCTGTTTTGCGTTGTCCTTTGCACAGGAGGGCAGAGCCCTCAGTAGTCCGCCATAGCCTAGGCATGCGAGAGGTGGAAGAAGGGGGGGAAGCCATAGCTATGGTGGACCTTTTGTGATGTCAGCAGTAAGAGGGAACTTCGGACATTGATTCTGGTTCATCCACTCATTGTTATTATTATTATTAGAAGAAGAATAAGATTGGTGAAGTGAAGGAGGAGAAGGAAGGGGGAGACAGAAGGGGGATTTGTCATTGGTCTTGCTGGTGTACTTCTTCTTCTTCTTCTTCTTCTTCTTCTTCTTTCTCACTTCTTTGGTCTCTGTCGCTTTGCAAGTGCTTTCATTTCTTTCGCAATTGGGTGGCATTGTCTTTCATTGTGAATTTGCACTTTGGGAATGACCAGGATCGTAACAATTCACTTCTTCTTCTTCATTCTCTTCGCTCATCATCTCCTTGCTCTCCTTTGATTCGTTGTGTTGAGCATTTGTTGATGAGGTAAGCTTCAAGAAGAGTCGGGCGCATTGCAAAGTGCTTGACTACAGACCGGATGTTGGATGTCATTGGTCTTGTGCTTTGTTTAATGCAGACCTCATCGATTCGGAGAGAGACCGAGCTGCCAGATATCCCGTACAAGGCATTAAATTCCCGTTACAGACATGTTGTACACATGGAAGATTGCCCTGCCATGGCCGAAGCATCTTCAAGTAAGCCTATTATAGATACGAGTCCCGAGGCGTCTTCTTCCCCGAGAGGTGGTGCTGCGGTGGACAAGGGTGCTGCAAAGCTCAGCCAAACATCAAAGACGAAGGCATGGGAGGAGGAAATGATATCAGGGCTGCAGCAAGTCCCATGGAGGAAAGTGGATGTAGATTTCCGCGCTGCGTATTTCCCTTTCATGGCCCATAATTTCATACATGTTAAAACCAAATGGATCCATTTTGAGGGTGCTGGCGTGATCAAACACCTTATTGACATGTTTGTAGACCAGGAAGAGAGAATTATCCTAGATGCCAGCTTGTAGCATAAAAAGAGTTTTGTGCAGCAGCTATGGCGGACATGGTGGTGGTCGTCTTTGTCCATGCCTTGATAGTGAAGTGCTTCCGCTTCTTCTTCTTCTTTTTCTTCTTCTTCCTCTTCTCTTCTCCTAGATGCCAGCTTGTAGCATAAGAGGAGTTTTGTGCAGCAGCTATTGCAGACATGGTGGTGGTCATCTTTGCCCACACCATGATAGCGCAGTACTTCCTTCCGTCTTCTTCTTTTTTCTTCTTCTTTCTTCTTCCTTCTTCTTTCACCGTCTTCGTATTGCTTTCTGTCTCTTCTCGCATAGGTTCTTCAGCTGATGCCTAGTTTACATAGAACTAAGAGTGGACGCAGAATCCTCGTCCTCATGCCCCACACCTAATGACACGGCCGTCAAAGCTAGGATCCCACTCTGGCCAGCTTGATGAATTTGAGAATTAGCGCATACTCCCGACAGGACATTTTTGACTCAGGTCTGGACGCGCTTGCACTCAGATGCATCTATACCCGGCCGCCGTATGGGACAACAAGGACCAATGAATCGTTCTGCTTACCATCTTCATCCTGTTCTGTACCATCCAGGTTCTGGGACAAGGACCAATGAATGGTTCTGATTATGTTCCTGATCCTGGTCTGGACCATCACAGTCCTTGGAGAACGACCAATGAATGGTTCGGATTACCATCCTGGTCCTGATCTGAACCGTCGTGGTCCTGGGACAATCAGAACCAATGAATGGGTCTGATTACAATTCTGGGTCCACAACCAATGAATGGTTCTGATTACCATCTTGGTCCTAGCGTGGACTTGGTTCTGATTACCATCCTGGTCCTCGTCTGGACCATCATGGTCCTAGGACAAGGACCACTGAATGGTTCTGATTATCATACTGATCCTGATCTGGAGCATCACCGTCCTTGGAGAGGGACCAAGGAATGGTTCTGATGACCATCCTGGTCCTGGGACAGTCAGAACCAATGAATGGTTCTGATTACCATCTTGGTCCTGGTCTGGACCGTTGGGATTCTGGGGAGAGGACCAGTGAATGGTTCTGATTACCATCCTGGTCCTCGTCTGGACCATTGTGGTCCTAGGACAAGGACCACTGAATGGTTCTGATTATCATACTGATCCTGGTCTGGAGCATCACCGTCCTTGGAGAGGGACCAAGGAATGGTTCTGATGACCATCCTGGTCCTTGGACAGTCAGAACCAATGAATGGTTCTGATTACCATCTTGGTCCTGGTCTGGACCGTTGGGATTCTGGGGAGAGGACCAGTGTATGGTTCTGATTACCATCCTGGTCCTCGTCTGGAGCATCATGGCCCTGGGACAAGGACCATTGAATGGTTCTGACTATGATCCTGATCCTGATCTGGAGCACCACCGTCCTAGGAGAAGGACCAAGGAATGGTTCTGATTACCATTCTGGTTCTGATTTGGACTGTCGTGGTCCTGAGACAAGGACCAATGCTAAAGAGTGCCTGGCTACCAGGAATGGCAGTGCGGTTCTGTCTATTTTCTGGACCAGGTTTTCCCCCTACCGTCTTCACCCAAATACAACGTATGGTCATTATTGCTGTATCTAGACTCAAAGTTGCCACAAATACAGCTATAATGACGTTATGTTGTATTTGGGTGAAGATGGTAGTGCCAGGAACAAGGTATCAAAACCAGAGAACGATTGCAGTCCGGACTGGTCTCACCAGGCCTCGCAGTCTCCGGGTTCTGGTATCTGTGGCATGCCTTCACGTCAGACGGTTCGTATCTTATCGACTATTTGACTCTCTCGTATTGACTATTGCAATCAGACTTGCGACTTCGACCTCAGCATGCATACGAACAGATGACGATCAAACTGGCGCCAAGCGTCCACACAAAGCTCATAGATAACGAAAACAAGATCGCAGCTCAGATTCAAACTTGTCTCAAGCGGCTACGGCCGGGACTCGTTCGTACACACACCACTCTGGATCTCCCTGGATATCCCGACACACACACACACACACACACACGCACACACGCTTAACTACTGACTCTCTACTAGCTGACGTGGCGGCTATGGCGGCCGTCTTCCTCCTTACTACTAACAGCTTCGTCTATGGCCGACTTCCTCCTCTTAGCCCTCTTCTCCCTCGGGCACCTGCAGACCTCCGTACACGAGACACTCTGATAGCGCTTCCGCACTGCTCACAGGCAGAATGATTCAATGTCTGGACGCTGCCCATTGATTTGTACTTCGGATGGTCACTGGTCTGCTCCTTTCCACTGGGCCCAGGGTGCACACAGTCCCACATGGTATTTGCTGACTGAACAAAGTGCGACTGGGACTGGGTACCGCTGACTAGGCGAGGTTGGACTGCCAACTTGGCCACTTGCCGCTAGCCTAACCTTAGCAATTCTCGAAAGGCCACTTCCGGACCTTCCGGAAGTCTGTAGACTCGGCCTTTTAGAACCGTAGCAGCTACGACTTTGACACAGCTAGAACCCCTACTTGACAGACCTACAGCTCAAGACCCGACGACCATACTAACCTGCGACAGACAACAAACGACTGCCAAGACACAGGGCATGGGTTCAAACACACAGAGGTCAACTTCGTACTGTACAGGGGTGAGGACAAGGTCTAGAGATCGAGCCCTGGGAAGGCTGGGATCTGCGTCTGCTACTGCAAAGGTGAAAACCGTTTCACTATTAGTGTCTCATATCGACTAATGAACTCTCACCTATTGACTATTAGTGTCTCCTATCGACTATTGAGCTCTCTCCTATCTATCGACTATTCCTACGTTCTTCAAGTTCCCCTTTTCCTCGCGTGGAGGGCAAAAATGGCCCATCGACCGTGAGGAAGACAAAACAAGCCCTGTCAACACACCCAAGGCACAGATCATGCACGTGAACAGGTGCATGGTCAGGTGCATTCTGAGCAGGATAGTCCGGGCATTTCTAACCCTGAGCAGGCTGTCTAGAACTTAGATGGAGGTTTGCCTTCTTTTCCGCAGCTGGCTGCCACTCTTGGTCGCTAAATGCAACGAGACTCGACCTTTTTATGATGACCTTTTTCCCCGAGGAAAAAGGTCATTGCGTGCTACTAGTTTATAGGGATTATCTGACTCTCCTGTCACCTCTTTCTTCACCTTCTTGTTGCTGGTTCTTTTCTGTTCTTTGCTCCTTTCCTTCCCTTCTACAGTGCCCTTGTTTCCCTATAGTTCCCTTGTTTCGCTGGTCTTTGTTAGCATCTCGCTTTCGAGTTTCCACAGTCACAACATCACTTATATTTATGATATATTAGTATATACTATATACTAGTATATAATTATATACTACTTTGCAAGCATATATATGACGATATATACTATTATAGTCAATTAACGAAATCTCAGGGCAAGTGCCCTTGCTTCACGGCATCACGAATATACAACTTTGCAAGCATATATATTATATAGGCGTTAACGGAACTGGTGAGGGCAAGTGCCCTTGTTTCGTTGGTCTTCATTAACATCTCACTTTCGAGTTTCCACAGTCACACTATCACAAATATACAACTTTGCCAGCATCTAGTCATTAGCAGATTCTTCTGATGACTAGATGCTGGCAAGTAGCTGCAGATCTGAAGGATGAATAGCGCACTATTTCCCACTGTCGATGCTGTGGCCAGGAATAGGTGCAAACGTCCACAACCATTTCTTTGTGGACCACATTCTTTGTATGTGGACTCGATAGGAGTGCAGTGTTTGGGAACATCTCTCTCTGTGTGTCTCCTCTCCTCTAGTCTAAGGTATTGCTGTTCAGCATCTGCAGCACGGCAGCAGGTCCAGTGCACAGTCATTCTGGTATGTATATACATGTGCCTGTCTGTCTTTCTGTCTGCCTGTCTGCCTGTCTGCCTGCCTGTCTGTCTGCCTGTCTGTCTGTCTGTCTGCCTGCCTGTCTGCCTGCCTGCCTGTCTGCCTGCCTGCCTGCCTGCCTGCCTGCCTGCCTGCCTGNCCTGCCTGCCTGTCTGTCTGTCTGTCTGTCTGTCTGTCTGTCTGTCTGTCTGTCTGTCTGTCTGTCTGTCTGTCTGTCTGTCTGTCTGTCTGTCTTCCCGTCTGTCTTCCTGTCTGTCTTCCCATCTGTCTTCCCGTCTGTCTTCCCGTCTGTCTTCCCGTCTGTCTGTCTGTCTGTCTGTCTGTCTGTCTGTCTGTCTGTCTGTCTATGTCTATGTCTGTCTCTGTCCGTCAGTCGTTCGTTCAGTTGGCCGGTCAGTCGGTCGGTTGGTCGGTCAGTTGGTCTTGGTCGGTCTTGGTCGGTCTGTCTGTCTGTCTGTATGCATGCATGAATATGGACTCCACTACACTACCCAATGTTATAACTGTATCTAGAGCTGATGATGGTCACTATATCAAAAATTCAAAGTGTATCTCTGGCACAATGCAGTCGAAATGCATGTTGTGTTGTGTAGTGGAGTGAGGCCCTATGTCTATGTATGTATTTGTATGTCTGATGTAAGATATTTCGTATGTGTATTTGGTAGGTAGGCAGCCAGGCAGGGATGTGGCACAACAAGGGAGCATATATGTGAAAGCATGCCTTTTGTTCTGGCTCTTTTTTTTCTTTTTCTTTTTTTATCCTGGATCAATGTATCTAAGCCTCAGACTCCAATTGGGGAATTCTAGATGTCCCCCAAGCATCTGGGTCATTCTTTTTCTCTTTTTTGCTTCTTTTGAGGTCCATTCGTCAAGGTCCATCAGCATTCGAACTCAGGTCTGTATTTTAACTGTTCAGTTCAGGTGTGTACCAACTGCGCTAGTCTTGTTGGTGGCGTCTGCGGGCCATTCTTTTTTGTTTTGGTGGGAACTTCAAAGGCCTAGATTGTGCTAGGAGCTTCTGCTGGACGACCAGATTTCTATAAGCCGAAGGTTGGCTGGGGGTAAGAGTCCAGGACCTTGTCATATGTACAGCAGTTGCAGGCAGGCATGCCGTCGGTCGAGCAGCAGGCATCTGGCAAACAGCAGGTGCAGGCAGGCATGCTGTCGGTCGAGCAGCAGGCATCTGGCAAACTGATGGACCAATGGATGTGGACAGCTTTCAGGCCAGGTTCTAGGGTTCGGGGGTAAGAGTCCTAGACTCCTTAACAGCAATTTCGGTAAAACGGATATTTTTTCTATATTTTGAACGAAATTGAAACCGGCTAATTTGGCCTGAATCCGGTTGATCTGGATCGAAATTTTGATGAAATTGAGGGCGTTCTTAAAACGCTGTACCCCCCGGACTCCAGCTAAGTCCAGATACATCCAGGGGGTCCGAGGTTCTTAAAACGCTTGCCCCCCTGGACTCTGGCTAGGTCCCAATACATCCTGGGGGTCCAGCATTTGAAGAACGCCAGACCCTCAAGTGCTAAAGTTTGACCTGAATTGAGCGGATTCAGGCCAATTTAGTTGGTTTCAATTTCATTCAAAAAATTAAAAATGTCCGTTTTGACGAACATACACAAGGCTTGTAGTATGTACACCAAGCGCGGGCAGGCACGCCGTCGCTCAAGCACGAGTCATATGTCAAACTGATGGACCATGCATGTGGACAACTTTGAGGCCAGGTTCTAGGGTTCAGTGCCAGTTTTCTCCCTGCCCACTTTTAGCAGTAGCGGATGCAGTACCCAGGGTTCGATCCCTAGCCCTCACCTTACCCATGTACAGTATCTGTGTAAGCCCCGGGAATTGAACCTGTGACCTGTGTATTCGTAGGCAGTTGGTAGGTCTGTCGTAGGTCCATAGGCAGCAGGGGTTCGATCTGTAGGTCTATAGCGTAGGAGTCTTAGTGAGTTCCGGAAGCTTAGCTGTAGACCTTCTAGAAGGTAGGCAAGTGGGCAAGTGGTSAAGTGGTGAGGCAAGTGGTGGACTAAACCACAGTGCAACCGCAGTACAACGTCGGTAGGATAGCGGTGAGTCCACAGTCAGTCAGCGGAAGGTCCAGTCAGTCCSAGTSCGGTCCAGCAAGTACCRYAGGGRGACTGTGAGCACCAAGGGCCGATGGCAAAGGGCAGACCAACGAGTTTCTGAAGTATAAATCAAGAGGCAGCGCCCAGCCATTCATTCATTCCTGCGTGAG